AATATATTTATATATTTAAGGTCAGAGTTACACTTTTTTTCAAAGCTAATTAAATAAGATCAGCCCTGTTCATGTGGTAGACCTCCTAAGCTGTATGTAGCTGACAGGGATGGGCTTTGAGTGTGCTCATTAAAGCTGATTTACAACCTAAACCTCATCCCACATGGGGACTACCGATGCTCTCTGTGTGCTCAGTGAAACTGAACTTTGAACACAGTTTCAGACACTGAGAACCAGGAAAGAAAATCCTAATTAGTGGAAAAACTTCTTGCTGAGCTATATGTTCTTTATGCCATTACCTGCTGTTGTGGCAAACAACATATCTGAATATATCGTCACAGTTTTCCTCCTTTGACATATTCAGGGAAGCAGGATTACTTGTCCGAGTCTGAGGTAACAGGATTTGCACATTTGTGAAAATGCCATTTTAGTGCCTTGGGCTAATTTATTGAAGAAATTTTAAAGGGTTAGATGATGCAGTGCATTATGGAAGGAGTAGGTTTTCAGGAGGCGTTTGCACAGTTCAAACTGTATTTGCAGTACATGATGAAAAAATGTTGTAATTGTAGCAGGAAAGCAGGACGACTACTTGTAAACTTCAATTTACTTCAACATAGTCATCTCACCAAAGTGATGCTTATCTAGTCTCACAAGCACTTAATAACGTTTACCCAGTGTTTATTTGGGAAGTGCAGTTAAACTTCTGCAATTTTACTACTATAGTTTCTCTAAAGGCCAAATCCCAAAGTATTTGGCACTTGCAGAACAACTCCATCCTTGAGAGGCCAAGTTAGGTTGTGATCTCTCTGCCATCATTACCACACTGTTGGTGCTGACTTATTCCAGGTCTAAACTGACCCCCTGCTGGGCCTAAGCATCAGGGAGGGTTTTTTTTGTACTGTTACGATGTTTTTAGAAACGAGCTACAACTAGCTAATGAATGTAATTATCTTGGTGTTACCGTAAACTGTTTTTTATGCGCATAAAGCAGCCTGAAAGTATTAGAACAACAAAGTAGAAAAAAGAAGAGCAGGTAAATGTTATGACTTAACACTTTAATTTGCTCAGTCCACTTTTCCATGATAGCGGTAGGCTAAATGATTCCCTGCTTGCTCCCTTTCTCCTATGCTAGGCAACTGTTGTGACTTTGCCACATAGTATGTTACATAAAAGAAATGTAGATTTTTTTTTTAAATACATATATTCAAGTGACACCCCACCTGATACCCCAGCGCAGTTCCACATTCTCCTGTTTTTATTGTACCTAATTTATAGTTTAAGGCTTTTTTTTTTTTTTTATATGTCTCTTTTTCTTTATTCATTTCCTCGTAGTGTTGTATTCACTTATTTTACCTCATCAAAGGTGACTTTGCCAACACTATTCAGAGTCCACCTGCTCCCATGCTGTTCACAGAGTGAGTTATTGCTCATTAGCACGCAGATGTTTTAAAGTAGTGGAACAGCGATGCGGGCAGCAGGTGTGTCGCACAGAATATGGGTGTTCAGGGAAATGTCCAGCCAAGCGCGGCCTTTGTGATGAACGGGCAGTTAAAGCGAAATGATGACTTTGTGCTTTGCTGTCTGGGATACATAAAGCAGGGCCTCACCTGTGTTACGTGTCATTCCCTTTTACCGTCGTGAATGTATAGAGTTTTTACGGCCTCATCTTGTGAGACACGGTGGTGTCTGTGCGTATACAGCTTTGACTCATGCCCAGCTTTGGACGCCTGCCTGAAACTGCCTTGCTCCCTCCCTCCTTCACTTTGGAGAGGCAGCTGGGCCTGGTTGTGAAGAGGTGCCCTTGTTGCTACTCATGCTGCTCTGCAGGGCCTCGGGACCCAAACACATGGTAGACATGCAGGGTGCCAGGCAGAGCACATCATCAGTAGGCCACCCACTTTCACTCACAGGCTGTTTTGCTGGTGACATGTTTCAATCAAGTGTTTGTTTGTGTGTGTGAACGTTATTTTAAGATTTGCACATTCTTTCTTCCTGACATTGCTACTTCAAGAGGACAGAATAATCTGGAAGGATCTTTTTGATCCTGGATGATTTGGCTGTAGTTTCAGTTCCTGGAACAACAAGCATGGATTTAATACTACAGGCCACAGAATTTGAGAGCAACAAAACAAACTGTTGTCGTTTTAATAATGAACTCAGCCTAACCGCAGCCGTAATCTGATTTCACAGTCTGGAAATACATCAGCTCGTCTGCTCACTTAAGGCTCTTGGGGCACCAGACAATTTTTCGGGGTCTCTGTTGCAGCCAGCAGGTATCCATGCCAGCATTTCTGGCTTTTGCACCAGTCATTGTTTACCATGACAGATAATTTGAAAATGCCAGTAACCACTTAACTCATCATTAGAGAATAGTTGATCACTATCCAGTGCATTTCAGAAAATGCCATCCCTGCTTTGCTCTTCATGCAGACTGATTTTCTACAAGAAAATGCAATGCAGAAATCTTCTGCTGCTTAAAATCTTTGATCTCTTGCCTACAGACTTTATGTAAAATACATAAAATATGCTTAGATCACAGAGTTCAGTGGATGGAGTTTGTTAAATGGGTAAGAAGTTGGTGTAGACTCTATCTCTTGTTTGTCTCTTGTTCCTGAAAGAGCTCAAAGTGATCTGCTGTCTTAAATTTTATAGATGATCAATAATGACCAATAGTGGTAAACTCATTAACCAATATGTTGTGTAGCTACAGAAGAAGGAAGTATATTTTTTGGACGAAAGCTGCTAGAGACACACTAGCTGATTATAATATACGAATATATGTAAATAACCCAAGGTTTCTGGGATGAAAGTGCTGGAAATAGAGGAAGTATGAGATGATGGTCTAGTAGTTGTGGTTGCTAGAGCTTGGTGGAGGTTTGTGGCTTTTGCTAGACGTCGTTCTAGATCTCATTAAGCACCAATTTCCGTTGGACAACATGCACTTAAATAAATTCCTAAATGTGAATTTTGGACTTGTGTAATTCCACAAAACCTAATCTATCAAACTAGTGGAAAGATGAGACCCAAAATCTAAAAGAAAAAATGACCGATGCATAAGTTTGTCCATGCCTTAAAATGTCAAAGGCTTAGTGTTTATTAAACTGAAGTTAGTAGGCTGGTGCAAGAAAAATGAAATCACTCAATAACAGAACAATTGGACTGTATCGATGCCTCCCTGTAAGAGGAGACCA